GCAAGGGGGTGCCTGCTGCTGCTTTCACGGGTTTGACTCAGGGCTCGAGTTTCTCTGCGTGGGTGAGGTGTTAATGCCTCTCCTGACATGTTTATGAGCTCACGCTCTCTGCTGCCGTAAAACCAAATGTTGGTGGTTTAAATAAGGCCCTGCGCCTTGCTGTAGGCACCGGCATGCATCTGGGTTTTTATAAAGTACTCTTAATAGCATTCAATATTTTATCAGTTTCTTCTTCACATCTTGTGTGTTTAGTTTCACAGGTTGGGTTTCTCAACCTTGGTTTTTTTTTATTTATTCAACACAGAGCTGATAAAGCAGATGATGAGGATGATGAAGATCTAACGGTGAATAAAACATGGGTCCTTGCACCGAAGATTCATGGTGGGGATGTGACTCACATACTGGACTCCTTGCTTCAAGGGTATGACAACAAGCTGCGGCCGGACATTGGAGGTAAGCCCAGAAAGCAGTGCAGTACTCAGAAAATGTGAACCAGAGATAGTGTGCATTTTGTCAAAGTCGGCACAAATCCTCTTAATGCAATTTTTAAAACTTAATATAGCAAGAAAAATGGAACAGCAATGAAATGCAGTGGTTTTCTGGAACTGCTAGAAGTAGTGTTCTGTGCAAGAGTAGATTTTTTGTGTTTTATTTACAATCTCTTTTTCTTAGGTAAAACATTGCATTTTGGGGACAGTGGGCAATCTGTAATAAATAATTAAAAGGCAATTGTAGTTTGCTTTGTTTGACTAAGAGCTTCTGACAGAAAGAGTTGTAGCTATAAACCAGCCATGGTTATTTACAAATTTGATCCTGAGTCTGTAGGAGTTTGTTAAAGAATTATTCCTAGATATTTTTGCTCTTACTGTAGAAAATGCCTTGTAAGTGTGTATTTTGAGCAAATTTGACTGAACGCAGTTCTCTTCTTCCTTTAGCTCAGATTTTGAAAAACTTTGTAAGAATCTAAAAATATAACTAGGACTGTATGTTTTCTAGAGGAATACAGGAAGGAAGACTGCTTTACTAGAGATCAAACTTTGCAGCCAGTAGGAAGGCAGTTTTGTCTTTCAGTAGTCAAAGCACCAGTTTGCCTATAACTATTAAGTGTCAACATTTGGAAGAATCTTGTGTTGAAAACATGGAATACATGAAACCTCGCCAGCTCTTGTCTACAACATGCGAGCTGGATCAAACTAGGAAAAATAATTCATTTTCTCTGAGTTTGTTTCCTGAACTGTGAAGGGAGAGATGGAGGACCTGATTATTTGTTAAACACTTGGCATTCCCTACCAAAGGAATGCCATGTAAGTCTGTAAGCTGCTTACACGATAAACAATACAGCAATCTAGACTTGCTTCATTTCTGTAGGAGAAGAGAGATGCAATCTCAAACTAAGTATTTTCTTTTGAAAGCTTCTGACAAACTGTTTTCTTCCCCAAATTTCTTAGTTCTGTTCTGTTGTTGACTGTTACCCTAAAGACGTTGAACAGCAATTTTTCTCTCACTGTCGTAATATAATCACATGTGAATCTCATGAAGTTTTTCATCTTTGCCTTCATGTTCATTTCATTGACTTACTGCAAACATTTAGACAAAAAGAAAGGTCTTCCAGCATATTTTTCCTTAAATTCTCGACATGTGATGGATGTATAGCACTACTTTTTTTTCCCGACGACTTGATGTAGCAGACAGCAAAGGGATTATAAGGGAATGAACTGTCTCCACCAGGATTCCTTCTGATGATGAGCTGGTGGGTGGGGATGGAAGGAAAGAGAATCTTGTTTCTTTTCTCTCCTCATAAAACTTTGAAATAAATGGATGGAAAACGGAGGAAGAGGAGTTTATTTTGACATGCTAAATGGATTTAGAAGGGCAAGGAAGAATTTTGGTGTAATCCTTACCTTTGCTTTTCTGATTATGTACCGATCCCATAGTGAAAGAAATCTGCCTTTTTATGAGTAAAGCAGTGTACAACTTTTTATATTCCGAGTATTGGTTCCTGAAAGAAGACACTTGGTTCTAGCTTCTTTCACACAGATGCTCCTTTCCTTTTTCTTCTTCGCTTTCTCAGTGCAGTACTTTTGTCTGACCTTTGCCATCTGGGACCTGCCTCCATCCGATGCATTAACACGTCAGGTTCATGAATATCAGCCAAATGCGAGCAGAAGATGTTTGGGGGCATTTGCTTTGTTGCCAGAACAAATGTCAAGACTGACTCTTGTCTGGATAGAGGGGAGGTTGCAGACCGCTGCCACATGGCAGAAATTCTGGACAACCTAAGATGGAATTTCCAGCTTCGAGTGCAGGCAACGCATTCTGGCCAGCTGCTTTGGAACTGCAGCAGATATTGAACAGACAGAACCCCAAAATCAGGCCATAGTGCATTCATCTTAGTCTGCTTCAATTATGTGGGTAAAATCTGGTGTCAGATTCCACATCTTCAGAGTACACGTCAGTACTTGTACAACAAGGTTATTGAGCTGGAATTCTAATTAGCTTTCAAAGCAAGAATATCCCGGAGAGCATTTTTACTATTGAATTACAAAGCTCAGTTACAATAACAACATTTTTTTTTTAAACCTGGACTTTTTGGGTTTGAGTAGCCGAGCAGAATTTTGTTTTCTTCCTGATCTTGACACAGAATTTCAGCATCTCATTGTGAAATAAGGGGTTTCATTGTTAAACGTGCAGTTAGTTGAGGGAGATGATAAAGGAGAGCCAAATGAACACTGAAATGTCAGAGGCAATACTGAAATTTAATTGGAAAACACAACACTGTCTTTTTCTGTTTGTCTCATTCAAATATCCACGAGGTGTGGTGATTTTTTTAACTCCTACCCTTTCCTCTATTAATCTTACTAATGTTAACTCAGTTTATGTAATCTACTTTGAGGTGTTTGAAGCATAAAGGAACTGGTATTAAAGTACCTTCCGCTCAGCATGAAATGGTAGTAGTTACCAGATGAAATCTCTTATCCGTAGTAGAAATGCCTTGAATCACAGATACCACCTTGGAGCGTTGATAAAGGAGTATTGTTCTCACTGCAATGTTACCTTTTGGCTACCTGGTTTTATAATCACCCTGTTTTAGCTTCAGTGCTACATCAAACCAGCTGTTGTTTTGCAACTGTCTTTTTTAAAGGAAAGAATTCTGGCTGCACCCTGTTCTATCTTTCACCCCTTAGGGACACAGATGTATTAATATTAGCCTAGCAATGTACAGCACATTTTTCCATCTATGTCTCTTGTCCGATGTTGCGTATTATATGAGAGAAACACAACTGATCAATCTGAAATTTTAATTAAAAATAGGGGATAATCATCACATATCTACAACTCTAATGGAGTGTTTTCAATCAACAGTTTGGTGAGTCAGCGTTGATAGAATGTTAAGAATGATGAGGATGATAGCTTGTGGATGTAGAGAAATTGGATACCTAGAGAAAGCTGGGTAGTTGTAATTGCCCAGTAAGCAGGGCATGGGTAGGTAATTGCATCTCAGTGCACTAATGGGAAAAGTCAGGTACTCGGGGTTATAAAGGATACGGGAACAAAATATGGACTTTCAAGAGACTAATAGAAGCATTAATTCTGAAGAGATAAGGATATTAGGGGGATATTCTGTTGAACAGGTGCTCTTAGTGCAGCCTTGATGAAAGGATGATATAGGCAGGAGAGTAATAAGCCCAAATCAGCAGGAAAATATCAGGTAAAGGTAGAGAGGTATGTATTCTGAGCTGAAGAATATTTTGCAAGAATTGGAGGAAATTGAAATCCAAGAGCAAGATGTAGAAGAGCACGTGCAGCAAATGAATGTTAAAGGTACTGGATGTGTGCACTGCATAGGAAATGATGGAAATAATAAAAATGGTGGGGCAGGAGTATTTGCTAAAGATGGATTTCGTTTAAATAAAAAGGTAAAAGAAGAAGTGTGGAGAACAGGGCTCTGCTTTCATTAAAATCACTTTGAATAGATTGTTCAGAGATGGAGCTGGAAGCCTGCGGTAGATACTTGATGCCAAATTTTCAATATAGATAGCCATATAAGTAATATTCCTAGGTAACTGGTTCTAACAATCATATTATTCTGTTATGAAGGATTACAAACTGAAGGCCTCTGTTATTTCTGAGTGTGCTAGTCGCCTTCTTTATTTGCTGAAAAACTGCTTTACCACCAAGAAGAAATGCTCCTTTAGGCAATTAATGAGGAGTTGTAGAAAACATGCTCAAAGAAAATAAGCCTGGATGAAATTATCAAAAGTGATCTTAATTTAAATTAAATAGCATGAGAAGTAATAATAAAAAAAGGTGATATATCTTAGATCTTCATTCCAGAATGGGGAATTGTGGTGAACTACGAGAACTGGTTAATGAATTTAGATAGAATAAAATGCTATTGGGTAATGCTGAGGACTGGAGTAATGAAGATGGAGCAATATCAAGCAATAAAAAGTGCAATGTTCTGCACTTTTACAATAATGAGAATAATTTCTGTCAGGGGATGGGGGTTTATAAACTGAGAATAACTGAGAAGGAGAGCACTTCAGTGTAGCAGGCAGAGATATTTCAAAACTCAAAAGCTGAAAATTTGACCTGGATAAACACAGGCTAAAAGAGAGGCACTTTTCATAGCAAGAGCAATTACTAAAATTATTTGTCAATGATTGAGGTAGATTTTTATCACTATGATTTTTCTAATTGAGAGTAAACAATTTTCAAAATACAGGTTTTGGACTCAAACTGGGGTTCAGAATATGTCTGTGTATTGGGTTTACGTGGCCAGGTTTTGATATCAGGGGGACTATGGAGGCGACTTCTGTGAGAAGCTGCTGGAAGCTTCCCCCGTGTCCATTGGAACCAATGCCACTGGCTCCAAGACGGACCTTGTCAAGGCCAAGGCCGAGCCCATCAGCGATGGTGGTAGCACCTCTGGGATAACATAGTGAAGAAGGGGGGGAAAAAACTGCAGCAGGATAGAAAGGGGAGTGAGAATACATGAGAGGAACAGCCCTGCAGACCCCCAGGTCAGGGCAGGAGGAGGGCAGGAGGCTCCCTACAGCCCATGGAGCAGACCATGGTGAGGCATTATTTGCTGCATTTATTTCCTGGGACAAGCCTGTCCCTGGCTATGTGCTTGTGTTAGATGATGCTCAGTACCAGTCAAACCTTCTAAACCAGAAGATGAGAAGTTTAGTCTAGTGAAGAAAAGATGTCAAAGCTGGAAATCAGAAAGTGTGTGTAGATGTCTCTAGATCAAGCTTAGCAAACAGGTTCTCCGTGTGCTTCAGCTACGTTAGGAGCTGATGAACTGTGCCTCGGGGGGCAGCTGCCCCTTGGTGCTCTGCTCGTTCCTTCTCTGTCTCTGTTGAGTTTGCAATCTGCTGTCCTCTCACCTTCTTACTTTACTCTAGCCTGGTTCATATTGTCTGTCAGTGTAAATATTTAAAGTGTGCAAGCCCTTCCTCCCTTCCTTAGAAGACTCTGTAAGCTTACAGTGCTTTTTTCGCACTTGATGAAGGGTGTGTTAAATTCCCTTCTTCCTACTTGTGATGTGTTCTGGGCTAATACCAATTTTTTAAATTAAAAGAAGAAACATTCACAGCAGAAAAACCTTCTCAAACCTTCTTTCACTGTTAGTTCTTTGTGGAGAGTAAATGAACAACAACAATTAGACGGATGACAGATTAGTACCAAGAATGTATTTTCCTCCAGCATTTGACATTTTCAAGGACTCGTAGTGCTGCTGGTTCAAGAACATGGAAAGAATGAATTCTTTCTTCTAAATCGCAGAAGTACCTTGCTCTGTACCTTACAGAAGAACAAAGGTAACAGAACAGCCTCTTCCAGTCTTCCTGAATTGGATCTCTTTCTCTGGATCATATGGGTCATTCAAAATAATTCCAAGTGGTAGATCTTCAGACTCTTCACCGGCTCTTAATATCTCTAATAATCTCACCCAGAGCAGTGTGGAAGGGGTGAGTTGAGCTCCGAGGCACATCACAGGAGAGCCTTTGTGGCAGATCAAGTACTGCAAGCTGGAATTTCGTAAAATTGACACAGCCCCCACTAAAAACCGGCTCACTGACAGATCGCAGCATCTAGTTGTCAATAAGGAGGTATTAGTGGTTGGGCTATTTGTAGAGGGGTCTCACAGGAAAGTCTTGATCAAGAATAATCATATTTTGAATGATTTCACCAATTAATTTTTGTAGCAAAGTTGGCAGATGATGTGAAGACTGTTGGAAAGGGAGAAGCTGTATCTGCAGAGTAATCGGCTCCTGCGGTAAAACTGGAGATACCGAAATTGAGAGGAAAAAAAAAAAAAGGACATGGCGGGGAGGAATCCTGTGGGTCATATTTCAAGATGAGAGATTCTACATAGTAAAGCAGTGGTTTAGGGGAACACTTAGACATTTTGTGTGGTATGAGATCTTAGCTTAGCTGAGCACTGTCCTGAGATAACTCCCCATTTGGAAAGGAACACGGCACGTAGAAATCTGGAAATGCTCAAGCAGCACTGATAACACTGTCACAAAACCGTCCAGTTCTGCTGTCCACATTTCCAGGTGGATCTGGGAACAACGGAGCACATTTAGAAATAAAAGCTGAACAGACGAGCTGGAGGTTGCGTTTGCAGGGCGCGGTGTGGGCTGTTCAGCATCCTGAAGGCAAGTTTTGGAGGTGACCTTAATCACCCTGTGTAGGTCCTCGCATTTGAAGAAGAGGTCTGATCTATGGCTCGGCAACGCTGGAAGTTGTGGTCAAAGACTTGAACCTCCAAACAAATCAAGATTTCCTCACACTAAGGAGAATCAAACATTTCCTATGAACATGGTGAAAAACCAGTGGATTCAGCATCGCTTGAGCAGTGAGGCGAGACATGCTTTGGTCCACCACCTCCTCGTATTCTAATCACAGCAGTGGGGTTGCTGCTAGATAGAGAAACAGGGTTGCAAAATTAAAGGAAAAGATACATCTGTGAGATGTGGCGTGTGTAAAATACGCTGTATTATACATCTCTGTATATAGACTCATGCATTGTAGACTTTTTTACTCTGATTTTTCAGTCTGTAGATATGAGTTCTCATTTCCCCCCCCTTCCCTTATGAACCCTGAAGATACTGAAAACATTTGCAGCTCAGGAAGTACCTTGTTTTTCCCCCCTCCCCAGGAAATAAATAGGTTTCCAGAGCCTGGTTAAACTTTCCACGAAGCACGCTGGGGACAGGACGATGATCAAGTGACTCTGTGCCCTGTGGTCGTACAGCAAACCCTCTGTGCAGCCTCGCTGGTGTGTCTTGGTGTCACAGTCCGGGTCACACCGGCAATCGGGTTTGGAATCGGGGAAAGGTTCCTCCCAAGTGAGACTGGCAGGGAAAAGCTGTCTTAGGGTATTTGGGAAACGCATCTTGCCTGTCGTTGTAGCTGGCAAGGATGTTAATGGTACCCAGTTTCTTTCTGTGTTTCCGTTTGAAATTTAGATTTGTGAGGTTTGAAAAAGCTCCGTACAGAAGATTTCAGGTTCGTTACAGAGCGCTTGGGCGATCTCTGATGGTTTGCGGAACGAAGAAATCAAACCTGATGACTTAAGATCCCTCTCCCGTGAAACCAAAGTGCCTTTTTGTTTGTACCTGTCCCCTTTTCCATCTGCAGATGGGCAGAGGTGCTTCATTTTAACGGCCAGGTCATGAGAGGAAGACCAGCAGAGCTTTGTTATTAACCCTCTCCATTCCAGCGGGGGCTAGGCCATAAGTCCTCTGGAGTCCACATTCTGGCTCTCCAGTACAAGCTAGAAGAAGATGTTTGGTAAATTGATAAAGCTAAAATGCATTCTGACCTCTTCCATTTGTACTTTTTTCACCTGTAAACCAGTTAGGAGTCAAGAACGGGATTATCGGTGCCGCCTGTACTTCAGACATGACTTTCAAGGGAAGTCACTTTGACTTTGTGCCTGTCCTGGTGCCAGTGCACGAAATAAAAGACTATATTCTGTATGAGAACAGATTCTTAAAACAGGTATTTTTTGTCTGCCCAGTGAGAGTGGTTTCCTTGTTTTCTTAAAGAAAAATAGCTTTGGAAATGTTTCACTTTTAACTGACTTTCACTTGAAGAGCTTTCAGGTTGGTGTTTGAAGCAGTGTACTAATCAGATGAAGGGCTGTTAGTAACCGTGAGGTGTCCTACAGCTGCATGAACTGAAGAAATCTGTAGTAAAAAGTTATTTTATTTTTATTACACGTTTTCAGTAGGAATCAACAGAAAGCACTGCGTGTTGATTCCCTACAGCTGATAAACACATCTGCTCCTGGACCTCATGGTTTGCTGTAAAAGCAATTTTTTCCAAATATTTTTTTTCTGTTTGTGATTAAATTTTTATGTTGGAAGACCATAGTCATTGTTTTTTTATTTTTCCTGCCATTTCCTTTTATACTTTTTATATCTATCCTCTATCTCTTCACAAAGCACAGGTGAGGATTGCATTACAAAGTAAGAAATTTGTGTTGATAATTCTAATAATTTGTATTGAATAAGCGAGCCAAGTCCTATATGATCCTTCACAGCATGAACAAACCAGAAATTTAATTATTCTGAATCTAATAAAAGAATATCAGAGCTGTTGTTGCCTTAGTAAATAGGTTAAATTACACTAACAACGTACAGAGTGAATTAAATGTGTAATTATTATGGTTACTGTTTTGTTTAGTGAGAACTACGGTAATTGAAACAGATGTCTATGTTAACAGCATTGGCCCAGTTGACCCAATCAATATGGTAAGTTCCGCTTATTGGCAGAAATCATTGTCTGAGTGATGAAATGGGTTAATACTATAAAATAATTCTAATCTTATTCAAATAAGTTTCTTTCTTACTGTGTATTCATATGCTCTTGGATATGATTGTGATTATTGCAGAAATGTGTTTGACTCTGTATTTGAAATTGTTGCCATTTTAAAAATATATTTCTTCTTTAAAAAAAAATTGAGGCTGCACAGAGGACATTGAATCAGATCCTTATTTTGGTTTGTGTTAACATTTTCACTATGTTTGTTTGTACCTGGTTTATCTCTGGCCCAGTAGAATTTCACAGAGCTACTCTTCAGAGGTTAAGAAAAATCACAATTAACCTAGTATTTGTGAATAAAACTATTTACAGCGCAGTGATTTATTACTATTTTTCAAATTCATAGAAAGAAAAATTTGAAATTAACTCTTTCGTTCTCCTTTTTCCATGTCTTATTTAGTCTTATGGGTCCTCTTCAGTATGTGCGTGTATGTGTACACACAGCTGGTTTCTTGGGAAGCTGAGCAATGCATCTCATCTGATTTCTGGTAGATCTGCTGAGATCTGACCTATCTGTGTGGTACCAATGCTGAAGTAACAGCACTTATGAGGAAGCTGAGTGTGTGGCCTTTCCTTAAATCACTTCGTTATTGTATGCGTTGTACGGAACGGTGGTGTTGGAGGCTTTAGAAAGGTCTCATAGCACGACTTCTCCTGGGAACCGCTGCCCAGGACCAAGACTGGGGCTGGCCCTCGGGCGAGTGTGAGCTCAGCCCCCTCTTGCCTTTTTCCTTTCCCTCCTCCCTACAGAATTGCTCACGGGGTTGAATTTGCACTGCAGAGACTCATTTTGTTCATCTGAGGCTGGATTATGCCAGCACAGGGGGCTTCTGAGCATTTGGAGAAAGCACAGTAATTCTAGGTTATTATTAAGGATCTTGTGGTTGACTTGTGTGTCACCATGCTTGGGTGGGGAATACTGACTTCTAGTGATGGGAAGCCAAGCAGGAAACACCAGCGGTACTTGGATGCTATGGATAAACGTGGCAAAATTAGATGATGCAGATCTGCGGCAAAGGATATTCATTCCAGCGTAACAGTCTAACAAGCTTAGAGCTGTCGTGACCTGGGCTGTAGCAGGGAAGTCCAAGTTTCCAGCCAGGCCTGCCCATAAGAAATGCATGAAAGAGCAGAAGAGTTATAGAGTAGGGGAAACTTTTCAATTTCCATGTTCAGCAAAAGTTATGTCTTTGGTTTTGTCTGCATTCCTACTGTAGTCTTTCTCTTCTGCTTCTCTGCATCCTATCCTCTTCCGAAAGAACTTACTGTGGGAGCAAAATGTGTGGACAGGCAGCTAGCTGTAAGGAGAATTGGACCAGGCTACCCAGGGAGGTGGATGAGTCACCATCTCTGGAGGTGTTTAAAAAACTAGTAGGTGTGGCACTTCAGGATATGGTTTAGTAGGAATGGTGGTGTTGGGTGGATGGTTGGACGGTATGATCTTAGAGGTCTTTTCCAACCTATGATTCTATGATTCTAAGGAGGATATAGCTCATGTAGGACATAGCAGAGGCTTCCTTTTCCAGTAACTAGTGTAAGTCCAGTGTAAGTGCCCGGTGGAAAAGCACCTGGGGGTGCTGGTCAATAACTGGCTGAACGTGAACCAGCAGTGTGCCCAGGTGGCCAAGAAGGCCAACAGCATCCTGGCTTGTCTCAGGAATGGTGTGGCCAGCAGGAGCAGGGCAGAGATTGTGCCCCTGTCCTTGGCACTGGTGAGGCCGCACCTCGAGTACTGTGGTCAGTTTTGGGCCCCTCACTCCAAGAAGGACATTGAGGGGCTGGAGCGTGTCCAGAGCAGGGCAGCGAGGCTGGGGAGGGGTCTGGAGAACAAGTCTGATGAGGAGCGGCTGAGGGAGCTGGGGCTGTTCAATCTGGAGAAGAGAAGGCTGAGGGCAGACCTTGTTGCTCTCTACAGCTACCTGACAGGAGGGTGTAGGGAGGTGAGTGTTGGTCTCTTCTCCCAAGTAATTAGCAATAGGATGAGAGGCGATGGCCTTAGATTGCATCAGGGGAGGATTAGATTGGATATTAGGAAAAATTTCTTTAGTGCAAGACTGGTCAGGCATTGGACCGCGCTGCCCAGGGAGGTGGTGGAGTCCCCATCTCTGGAGGGGTTCAAAAACCACGTAGATGTGGCACTTGGGGACATGGTTTAGTAGGCATGGTGGTGTTGGGTTGATGGTTGGTCTTGATGATCTTTGAGGTCTTTTCCAACCTTAATGATTCTATGATTCTATGATTCAGCCCGTGGCAAGTAGGCATTGCGGACACTGGATGAGAAATGCTTACAGCTTCAGTTTTCCAGTTCTAAAGAACCGGCGTGTTCTGGGATGCAGCATTATCACACCTGCGCTTGTGGCAATGACACTGTCAGCCATGGGACTCTGTCATGACGCTCATTTAGAGGTCTTCCCATGTCTGCTAGAGCTGTCCTAGAACTGGGTGGCGATGCTCTTGCCACGGCGCTAATAAAGGCCGGTCATACTGGCATTTAGTGCAAGGTAAGGATAGCACTGTGTTGAAAAGGCATATTACTTCATTAGGGAGTAGGATCCTAATGGTTGTAATGTGTATCAGCTGAATCTTTATCCCTCTAACCTTCTGATTTCTGTTAAAAAAAAAAAAATAAGGTAACAACAAAGCATGCCACCAAAAGATAATAAGGTAAATGCCATTAAGACATAGAACTTTAAAACCTATTCTGTGGTTTTTAAAAATGGGCAGAGAACTACTTAGCAATTTAAATTATAGTCTGAGGGCACTGTGGCCTTCATGAAAGAACAGTTGCTTTCCTGGGCTTGGACTCCAGGAACCTGGACCACTGGAGCACCTAACATCACTACAAAAATTAAATGTTTGTGAAAAGAGATAAAATCATATACATGCAAGTAATTTGATTAAGGTTTCCAAAAAAGATGTCTTTAATCTGGGAAACAACTTCCTCAGCACAAAAATAATTACAGATTTGATCCTGTAAGCTCTCTTTATGTGAGCTGTTGGTTTCATTAGGGAGGCATTCTCCCTAGAGTCAATATTGTTTGAGATTGTTAACCTATAATCCAAAAATTGCTTCCATTTCAAGGGCTGTCCTTCGCCCTTCATTTGATCACTTAATGTGAGAACACATATCTGCGATTCCCCATTGGATTACTCATTTGCCAGATACATTAATTCACTCTGGCAAATGATGTCCTTTAACTGTTCAGTGTGGATACAATATGGCACGAGGTAGAGAGCATTTCTTCTCACAACGATGCTGAGGTGGCTTATCAAGGGAGTGTGTTTGTCTGAAAGCTTCAGAGGACACAGATTATGAGAGGAAATGGATTTATTTTTATAATTCAGTCTATTTTCCACCTGCTATGTGATAGACTTTCGTAAAAAGGGTGCTGTAAGTGTATGTACGACATTCACTAGGATTTGTTTTTCAAGGTTTTTGTGCTTTGGCTTTCACGATTTAACGAAGACGTACACAAAATTCTAGACGGCGTAGACACTCCGTGCTTAAGAGATGTTTTTCGACAGCGTGTGATCTTTTTAGGCATCCACAACCTGAGTAAACATTTTTAACAAGCATCTGGATCAGCAGAGTATTTAGGTTTCTAATACTGCTGAAGCCTAAAGCTCGTTGAATCCGTCTGTTAGAGCCAACCTGTGCTACGCATCGCGCAACAATCATGTAAAATGCCACAAAGTGCATTTTTATGGCCAAAGTCTTGATCCTAAATAGCTCCACAGTGGTCTAGGGATTTCTCAGCGCAATTTAGACATGCAGTGAATGTTTAGAGCCTGGTTTTCCTCTGTATGGAAGCTCATTCAGTTGAGCACTTGATATAGACATGCCAGGCTCTGCCTACCCCCCTCT